CCCACCGCACTCTGGGGCCAGCCAGAGGCGGTATTTGCAAATTCTCTGAACTACTCAAAATTTCCGCTACTGGTTCTCCAGAACCTGCTGAATTTCACCCCTGGTCACTGCTCTTTTCTACTAGCACTTCCTGGAAAACATTTGTACATGCCAAGACCCTACCTGGTGTACCATCACCTTTCCCTTATCTGACATTTCTAATCCCACCAATAAAAGGCTGAGTGTTGAACATGTGGATGGGCAGAAGGCAACCTCTCATCTTTTATCAACTTCGGATTGAAGATTAGAGGATTTTCTCTCTAGAGAGACTCAGTGAATGCTTGGCAAAGAAAAATAGGTCATTTCTGTGGGAGGAGACTCAGAAATATTGCTTTCTATCCCTTTTTTACTTAAAAAAAAAAGATCTACCTAGGGATGGGTTTCAGGGACAGGCTTTCTTGTCGGGGATAGGCATGGCTGGCTAGGGAATTCTGAGAGTTGAAGTCCACACATCTTCAAACTGCCAAGATTTAGAAATGCTAGTTTATTGATGTAGCTGGAAGGGCAGGAGGGAAGGGGGGTGGGAATGAAAGTCAGATTTCGATAGGTCACAGGGTGACAGAGGAAAAGCTGTAGAGTTCTTAGAATATATCTAGAGTGCTTCCCTAACAATAAGAATTGTTTGGTTGTTTATTTGAGCCATTCCTCTGCTTGCAAGAATATTTAGTTCATTGCTGTGCCTTCGATGGAGTTTCTAAGGGAGATGATCTGATAGCTGCCTCCCTGAAACACTTTTCCTAGATAACATCTGGCCTGCTGTGAAATAGGGAGAAGACTTTGGCTTTTGCCTCAGCGAGCCTCCCAGCTCTGCTTTATGACTGTTTCCATCTAGTCTAACAAAGGGACATAGCAAAAAAAGGAAAGCTTTTTCCCGTACTATTTTTAAAATGAGATTTGGACAAGAGTAACACATAAGTATCACTTTCCACAATTCATTTGCAGCATTATCATTCAGCTTACATGATATAATTAAGATGCAATCTAAACCCCACATAAATCGTAGCATGCAACTCCCCCACCAGTTTAATATGGCTATGCGCTTAGATATTAGTCTCGGGCAGAAAGTGAAAATTCTTACAGCGAAGGTTTCTAATCTATTTGAAACTGCTTCAATAACTCTGCTTTATTTGAACTGTAAAGATCAGGTTTGAGAAAACCTAGTGAGCTGTTTCCAGCTTGGAGTTTATTTTAAATTAGGACCTTTAAAGTAATATCTACAGACCTCAGTATGTCCACAGACTTTTCCCTTGTCCACATTCCTTGTCCCATAACCTTCTTTTCAAGACCATTTTGTTTTCTTTTTAAAGAAGAACAAAATTGCAATGGATAAGCATTCTCATTATTTCAAAGAATGCCCCATATGTGTGTTTACAGGCGTTGTTGGAAAATAAAAAATGGTGGATAGCATCAATCCACCATTTTGTTTGGGAAGGTTTGTCCCCTTCAAAGCTAAGTTGAAAATACAAAAATCACCTTGGAGTTGATGAGACTCGTGATGAGATGTATCCTCACCAATTTGCCTTTTAGTAAATGAGCATTTTCTAATTGCCTAATTTCTCTAGAATTACATGTTCTCAACAGGACAAATATGCCCATAATGATTAAAAAGGTTAGATCCATCTTATACCCCTTTGATCTAGCTTTCAGCTTTTCTTTTTCTTTCTTTAAATTATCTGACCTACATTAACCTTTAGTTTTAAGCTGTCAGTCAGTCAGTCCCTGTCAAACTGCCAAGCCATCCTGCATAAGAGGATATATAGGATAAAAACAAATTATAAAAGAAGATCAAATGAGTCAAATGATTAAGCAAAGACAAGACAGGATCAATGTCCAAGTTTCACCGTCATCAGCCAATTACCATTTTGCTGGGTTTCTCCCGTTCATTGAACCACATGGCTGTTTCATTTTGTTTGAAGTTTACTAAAGAAAGAAGACTGTGGGAAATAAAAAGTTGTAACTCAAAACATAAGGATAGCACATTCAGTAACAGAGGAAGTAACTGATTATATAATGTAATGTGAAAATGACCTTGCAGGGTGGGGAGAAGAGATGCTGCCTAGGGAATAATCAGAGGACGTAAATCACCCAAAGTAACCCTATGTGAGTTGGACAGCCATATAAATGTATTTTATAAATTAACAACTAATTAAAATAAAAGTGGGAAGGGCCCACCACTTAGTAATACACATAAAAAGAAACTTAGAAAGAATTTGCTCTAACTTATCAGGCAGTAAAAGAAATAGTGGGAGATCTGTACTATCAGACTTGAAAGTTGCTGATAATGTGGTCTTTCAATAAAGTGGAATTAACTCATCTTGTCGTGTTTCCTGTCTGGTCTACTTGGGAGGCTGACAGATTGTAAGAGACACAAAAAAGACAATACGTATGGAGAAATCTAGTAGTTGGGCAGTTACACCCAGAACTTTCTCGTTAATCAAAACTATTGGAGTACATTTCAGAAAAGAGACAGTGAAGAAATGACCATTTTAAAACTAATTAATATTAACATTACAGAAACGCTAGCACTATGTACTTTAAGATAAGGATCAATTTCATTGTATTGGCAGACAAATACCTTGGCTAAATAACATAGCCAAGATATTTGTCTGCCAAATCATATGGGCCAAGATGCTTGTANCCACTGCTGTGTGTGTGAGAGAGTGGGACAGCACAGATTAACCTATGATTCAGCTGTAAATTTTTATCTAGAAACTGAAACCTCTTAAGAATATAGTAGCAAAGAACTAAGGATATAGTTTGGATAGATGTTGCTTTTGTTGCAGATAGGACAAGCCCTAATAATAAAGATCATCCACTGAAGAATCAATTAGGATCTCCATTTACATACCTCCTTCTTCTGTCCTTAGGTGGAGACTTTTCCTGCTCATTTCTCTACATTTGATGTGGAGGTTACCTGGACTCTTCTTTGCTAATGATTGTTTCTAGTCTCTTTTTCCCCCAGCCTTGCAAGCTTTAGCCCTCGCACATCCCAACACAGAGCAGAAATCAAAGAGAGAAATTGGGTTCTCGGGTACCTTTCTATATTCTGAAGATATATAAGAAACATCAGCCAGTTTAGAATAAGGACAGTCTAAGTATCCACAAAGTTAAAAGTACCAATTCACATTTTGTTATTTTGATTCTACCCAAGATTTTCTGATCTATGGACTTGCCATCTTACCACTTACTTGTGATATCCCCATCTCTCTCTGTCCAATCAGTGCATAAACAGATGAGCATACCAGAAGGTTGCCCGTGATTGTTGGTTTTCTTGATATATCACCAAACAGAAGCAAAAGAGAGCAGATGGGCCAATAAAAAACTGAGCATCTGCCTTCCTGCTTTAGAAACCTGGATCACCTCCCAACGTTTTCCCACTGTAAGTAGTAAACCTTCTGTGCCCTCTTTTCCTCCGTTTATAGATAGATGTGGACTTCATAATCCCTCAAGACTGTGTGCAGTCGTACTTGGTTCAGTTATATTCCTATAGTTTCAGCTATTCCATGTGTCAGCCCCAGACCATTTATATGGAGAACAAAAAGGGGACAATTTTCCTGTGTCATGCATAGGAATGATCCCTACCCAAAGTAAATTTCCACATCTGAAATAATTACATGGGTCTGTATGTTTCATTCAAGCAGTAAAATTAACCTATGAAAATGTAATTCCAAGATCTTTACAGCACTGTGGATTTCCCCATACATCTCTTTTTCCTGGGCCATTCATTTTCACGTATAAAAATGTTACAGTNGAGACTAGTATAGATCTATTTCAAGCTATTTAGCTCTCATCAGCTAGCCATACCCTTACTGGGAGCACAGGTTCAAATCCCAGTAAGGGTATGGCTAGCTGATGGCTACACATACACATACACATACACATACATATACAATGCCCAGTCGATTACCAGTAACCTCCTGTTGCTCCTTAGAACAAACTACAAGTAAGGGGAAAGACTATCAGTGTAGTTTTCCAATGTCTTCTTATGCTTCAGAAATTAAAATAAAGTGCAAAAAAATAATAATTTGAATTAGTCTTACAGTAGGAAGGGAGTAGTTTTCAAGCTTGGGAGTCTCCTCCCTCCTGAGCCTAGCAGCAACTGCTTTCTACACTTAATCAGACTTGTAGAAAATGGAACAAAAACTAGATATTTGCAATTGTAATCCAGCATCTCTTTCTCCTTTCATTTCATTAAAACAACATTGAACATTCCAATTGCAAAATTACTGTTTCTGGGTTGGTTTGGCTTTAAAATGTTTTATGGGTAGGTGGAATGGCTTTTGCCTTTGTTTTTTTTAGGACACAGTCAATTCCAACTTATTCCAAGGACTTTGTATATTACCTAGGAAATAGGTTAGCAATAGCTAGACTACTTTTGCTGCCAAAGCCAATATTTGGAAGACATCTGCATTCCTGCACTAGTGGAACTATACCATAGCTTGTGTCTTCAATAAAAGGAAACAAAGGAATAAAATCTTATAAAAATACTTACAATTATTAACAAATTCAAATAAAATGTAGTACTGTCAAATGGCTCACATTTTTAGTAGCTAATGTCACAGTAAGAATGGGTTACCTTCAGAACTATGGATGTCAGAAGAATACAAGATATTCCATATAGTGAAATGTAAAGCAACTGCCTTGATTCCTTTTATGTTCATCCTCTTCCCCTTGTTGAAAGAATCACATTTGCTTTCAACTCAAAACTGATTGACTATTTTTTTTAATTTAGCATTTTTTTAAAAATACTATCATTATAATACACACACACACACACACACACACACACACACACACACACACACACACA